TAGCTTGATCGTTTTGGTTTTGTTAACGGTGCTGACGATGACGAGGGGGGGGGGGCTGCTTGACTCAGTGACAAAGCCCCTTATCTTATCCTCAACGACTAGCGAAACGGGCATTTTTAGGGAACGTTGGCCAAATGATACGATCGACATAGAAAGCGTCCTGTGGTTATCTAGACTGCCTTCTCGAGACACCGAAAACGCAGTTGACACACAGCAGCAGTCGGCAGTCGTAAGCACCCAGCCTTCCTCCATTAGAAAATAACTGTGGGTTTCGTCTTCAAGGGAAATATCACTCATGGGCCAAGGAAATGATTGGAGATGAGGAGGGTTCTTCTGTGCCAATCTAAGTCATGTTTGATTGGGAGCTGTTTGAATACATGCACCGGTCGTATCGGCTTTCAACATGTAATTTACTTCATCGACGTTTTTGTGAGCACTGAAACGACAAGGACTCCTAGTCGAGCCCCACATTCCAATAGCAATTCAAACTCGTGGAAATTGCTTTGATAACCAGGAATGTAACCGGGTAGTGGTGGGGGTAGTTTGGTGAGTACGCTGAGTTTATCCTCTTCCCAGGGGCTTAGTCAGGAGCGGGTGGGCGGGAGCGTGTCCACCATGAGGCCCACATTTTTTTCACCATTGATGGCTCATGACAGAAAGTTCAGAATTGGTGTGAAGCATTTTCGCCGAGGTCACACAACAAGCAGTGCTTAGCGTGAGCCGTGATCCCAAAAATCCACTCACTTAAAAAATCGTCCTAGTTTAAAACAAAATAGACTGCCGCCATTTCCGTCTCTCCATCGCTGTCATCGCGTCCTAATGGCACCATAGCTAAAATTTAGGCATCGTCATCACCATAATTCAAGAAGCTCGATCAGTTGTTCATGTCCTTAATAGCACCTGAATGCCATTGAAACGACCCAAGTGGAGCTATGGGGTCGAGCCCAATTTGAGCCATGAATCTTTGCACGGCCAGACACGACATGCCATTCAAGGCAAGTGTTATGAATAAGAACATTAGGACCGAGACCAGCTTCACAAAGCAAATTACCTTGCTACTTAAACACGCTTAAGTGCCGCTGGTCGCGCGTGGTGCCTAAACACCTGACTACGTGGCAGCCATGTTTCTCACGGTAAGCGCTAGTAAACCCTAATCGATCCGCCGATTCAAAATGATCTTTTAGCCCATGTGTGGAACTGGAGCGTTGGTACGCGACCATACTAGATACCAGCCCCAGGGCGCTGTATTGCGTTTTTGCGGCCCGCCCAGCCGACCAGATGGTGAACTGGCCTAGAACAGCCGTGGCCACAGCCTCCCCCCCCCCCCCCCCCGTGTCTTGCAGTTTAGTCTCGGCCGCAGCCGTCCCCCTCCGTCCCCCTCAGCATGTTCTGGTGTCGTGATGACGCTGGCGGGCGCGACAACTGCAGTTGTCGCAAACTCGAAATACAGCCTGGGGCTACCACCAAAGGGAGAAGTGTAGCGCTATTTCGAATCGTTGACAGCGTGATTTGGACTCAGAAATGATTGAAATGTAAATCAGTATTTTATCTTGATGGTACTGCGGTGGCACAAGCCAGCTTTGTTCTAAACGTCATTGCTTCTCAGGTTTCACCAAAGAATGTTTTTGAAACATGCTCAAAGGTGGAACACTTCCTTGACGGAAATGTTCTACATTTTTAAATATTGAAGAGGCTTTAGATCTGATGAAATAAGCTTACTGATAACTACCGATATACTTTCAAGCGGGAAAGACTGCTCTAGACAACGCAATTCCTTTTTTAGTAAATATGGCCCGCAGTACGTCACTGCCTGGTTGCGTCATCGTGTCTTGCACATCACTGGTTGAGAGTCAATTCGTGGCCGCTATATTTGGAAATCGTGCTCACCTACACCAGATATGAACAATTTCATGATTGTTTTTTTCGCCTTGATTGCCGCATGGCCAATGGAATGGCATGATAAGAATGACGTCATGTCATCATGGATGCCTGAGTGACCTGGAAAAAGTCTGCACAAAGTAGTCTGCACGTCTTCGCGAGCGTGTAAAAAGTCCATAGGAAACTTGGGGGCTGTAGGTCTTGAGAAGTGCAGGGTTATGAATCCCACCAAACTCTCTTCGAGGTGGATATTTCAACTCAAAGCCCCACGCAAATGTGGAACACTCCTTTTAAGGCATTATCATGATTCATAGCATCACTATCTTGTTCTTACCTCCTGTGGGGTTCATGCAAAGTTAGAACTTTACCAAATTATCTTAACGAGCAAACTCTTTAAAATGGAGAGACGTTAAATGGGCCGAACAAATATGCTATAGCTTTCTACTAATTTCACTCGAGGCGTATATCCGTGGGTCAAATCGATTGAAGAACACAGTGCAATCAGGGGCTACGAACCGAAAAAGTCACGCCCAGCGGGTGCAGACCCGGATAACCCGGATGCAGTAAGGGGGCCGTAGACGTTGAAGAGCCTCGAATTTAGCAATAGGGCTGAAAATTAAAAGTTTTGCGGAGGCCATTCAGCCCTCTGGGCCATTAAAAAAAACTCCTCGAACACTGCTCCACGCCGATTCTGGGCTCTTTGCTATGCAGAGCTCTTGCTACTCACTGTGGTCCCCAGATCTTTACAGGGGCCTCTTTCATTGTCTCAGGGGTCCCGATCGGTTAAAATCGCAAGAAATGGCGTTGTCCCTGCTTGGAGAATGGGTCCTGAATCCCAAACCTGACGCCGGAGTGTTCTGGTAATCATGTGTTACGGTCGTTAACCCTCTACCACAAAATTGCTTTTTCGTAAAATAGGCTAAGGGACCCGAGCGGGAAACCCAAGTCTTAGATAACCCAAAAGTAGTTTTTCCAGATTTAACACACTTTCCTCTCAACATAGTAATTTTGGATTCCCAAGCAATTAAATAGGAAATTACAGCACTGCTCTGATACGTTTGCTCGTTGTGCCTCGGTGGAAAATGTTGTTAGGCATCATTATCATTTTGGTCGACGTCGATCGTCGAAACCAAGTTTCGATAATCGACACTGAGTCGATGTCATGTGGCTTTAGACGTCCTTGGACGTGTGCAACTTTGGGAGCAGAGTAAGTTGATGCGTGTGACTATCAAAGGCTGCCACGGAAACCCCGGCTGGAGCCGCAAGGCGGGCTGCGTGCTGCAACACAATGTTCGACGCGGCTAGTGGTGGTTTGGTGGTGATTGTCGGGCGACTAATGGTGGTTTGGTGGTGATTGTCGGGCGACTAGTGGTGGTTTGGTGCTGATTGTCGGCCGACTGCCGCTACCGTTTGGTCGGGTGGTGTCGATAGTCAATTGTTTTGTAACTGCTCCATCAAATATTCATGTCAAATCGGAGTCGGTGTATTTTAAGGCTCTTTCGAACGTTACCGGCTAAAAATGTGATCGCGCTTTTGCTTGCCAACATTTCACTGGTTACAGGGTTTCACGGGTTAGTGATAAGCTTAGTCAGCTGCGCTCAACTGAGCATGACACGGCAGTTTTCTTTTTTGTTGCTAGTTTTATATTTGAAACAATTATTAGAAACATTCTTCAAAACCGATGTGATGTTGATTTCCCATTTGCAATGTCCTGCTTCTTCTTTGGCTAGGTCTGCTCCAGAAGGTTGATGGGGGGGGGGGGGGGGAGCAAACTCACCGCTGGGTGGGGTGGGGGTGGGGGGCAAACCGGACATTAGGGAGGGGGGGGGGGCAGTAGCCCACCCAATAGACCATAAATCGATATCTGTGCAGTCCGTGTCTGTGGTCGGTTAAGGAGTTTCAAGATGCTCGACGACTCGGTGGATGGTATGGAGATGGTCGGCGGATATGAATGAAGCCTTCCATATGCTCGGTGGTCTTTGTTCCAGGTTCATCATGTCTGTGGACATTTCTTTGCTCAGATTTGATGAATTCTGGAGACAGAAATTGCGATATTCATATACGTTTACTCACTGAATAGTTACTGACGCATGCAACTTTTTTGACAGCTCATGTGCCCATGAATGTTCGCTTATGACGTTTGATGAAAAACTGTTAGATCATGGCGGGACACCTTTGAACAGGTCTCTTGTTGTCAAAATTCAACGGAATTGGTGTCTCATCTCTACAGGAGAAAAAAACCATGGCGGCGGATCTGATGATATAAGATTAGTTGCAGATCTGTAATCTTCTCCCGAGCACGAGCATAACAAACCTCGAAGGCTCTTCTTTATTAGAAGTCCAGAGCTCTACCAACTGAGTATAGTCGAAAGGTCAATATTTCGGTGTTGAAACTTGATGCCTCATAACTCCTGGACATTTTGTGTTTTTTTTCCGCAGAATAAGGTGCCGTATAGGGCTGATGTCTATACTACATCTGCTCATGGGGCTTTAAGTCAATGCCATGTGTTCTACCGCATTGATCTTCTTTATTTACCAGTGTTGCTCTCAGTCGATGGTTCATTCACCCCATGCAGGCTGGCGATCGCTGTCCATCCATGCACGCTTTGTCGCATCAGACTTCAGAGTCTCACTCCGGATGGTTACCTCTCTGTGCTCTTTCCGTCTGACCGACAGAGGACGAATTGCCCCTCATTTGTAGGACCTGCCACAGCTGCATCGGTATGACATTGGTAAGCGCTTTTCGGAGCGTTCTGAAGACCGCCCTTATGTTGTATTTTCCACAGATTCTCGCGATCGATTTAACAAGACCCTATTGTATGGTAATGATATCCTTGCTGTTGGTTTTTCCTTTCTCGTATACCAAGGCACGGGAGGCTGCTGCTGTCTTAATGTTACATAGTGCACTGGATGGATGGTTGCAATATCGTGAAATAGGTCCAGGAATGTAGCTACGCCTTCTTTGTGTTGCTTGGGGACGAATAAGTCGTGGACGTAACGTTCTTTTTTAGCGCAAGCGTGTTGTCGGCAGCATATGAGCACTCTCTTTCTAGACCGGTGCTTATATGGCGCTTTTGAGACATTCTGCTCTTTACCAGCGATAAAACGGTTGTTATTCATTGCTACCAGTTGCTGCACTGCGTCAGTTACATTAGTATCTATCGCATTTACGTACAGGGCCCCGTTGGTTACTGGTGACGGGTGAGTGAGGGTGGAAAGGTGGGCCCTGACGGAAGGCTGGATGGCAACTAGTTTTTCTTGTTCAGTCTGCAAAAAAGTCATCCACTGCGCCCCGCACATACACAATATCGGTGCGCTGGTGGGCTGACCTTTGCACTTATTTTCACCGAACTCAGGTTAGGCCAGATTGCGCTTAAGTTTTGTTTCATGTTCACTTGAAAATATTTGTGTAGTATTTTAACCTTGAGTTACATTTGCGACATCTCAATTTTTTAAAGCATTGTGGGCTATGCTCTGATAATAGTGCTGGCTGTGCACCAGGCTTGGTGTTTACAGCACAGGTTTACAAGCTGTGTATGCTGGAAACTTTTGTGACAATGTTTTTGATGGGAGGTCTGAACTAATCATGCCCCAAAAAACAACAAAATATTTATTGTGTATTTGGTAAATTGGTCATTAAATTACATACTGTACCTGAAAAGTGGAATTACAGATGCATGTTTGAGTTTGATTAGAATACATCAATTTATAGAAGATTTGGGTGACATTTTCATGTGGCAGTCATTGTTGGAAAACTATATGTTTACTGGTATAATGAGTACCAGGAGATTTTGTACTCCAGGAGTGTAACTAGGTAAAATGAAATATTTTGTACTCCATCATGATGCAACAAAAGTTTTTGGAAAAACTCATTGCATTTTCCTGTCTCAGGGCAAACTTAAACCAGAAGGTTGGTAGATTAGCACAGCTCTCACTTCCTATGCCCTATGCAGATCAACTCAAACTTGAACATGGCAGCCTACCATTGATGACAAACTGCATTAATTGCCAAGTATACAATTAATGGTTGTAGAAAACCACATAACCAAGCACTTACCGCAAACATCTGCCTACTCATGCACCACCACTGTATCATGGCAATGCAGACAAGAGAATCACTTGCAATTCAGCATCAGAAACATCCAAACTATTGAATGGCTTTGTCTGCCTCTCAGCTCAGGTTGGAGGTTGAACATATTAAAACTCGCCAGTTGGTTTTAATGATATACCTCCTTGTGACTGATTTGTCAAGAGCACAAATATTCTGCTCATACTCATGCCTTGCTGCATGCTTTGCAAACATTTGGAGGGAGGCTGTATAGAGACAAGATCCTGATTATGACAAAGGACTTATTAGTGCTCATCCAGAACCACCCAGTGGTTGGATATTTTTCCACTTTCTGGTGTCTGGAGTACAAAATTGTAGTCGCGGCTATGGATTCAAATTACATTAAATTTGTCACTTAAGGATGGAAAATAAAGCTGGTGATTCAGGCCTTACAAAAATATACTTCTAAGTAAAAAGGAAACATTGCTATGGTCAAAAAGCTGTTCGGAGACAGCCATCTCACTCTGGCAAAAACACCAAGACACGATAGCAACATGAACCCATATCTTTGGCCCAGCAAATCAAGGAGAAGGGTTTGGTAGCTCAAAAACACGAATGAATTTAAGCATAAATCATCATATTTTGCAGTGGTATGGGTTAAAGCACATCAAAATCCATAAATACATTGTCTTATTCGCCGGAGTCAGCGGAGTGACTGGCTCCGATCACTTTTGGCCGGCCTGCACGGGTCTGTCAGGCATTGTACTTGCGCTGGCTCGGTAAATTGGTTGAGAGTGCTGCCTGTCTCTGTTACTCGGCTGGAACGTGCGGGCCTCATGTGCTGTCCGGGGCACAAATGTTTAGCTGTTTGGGGTGGTGCATAAGAAGGTGGCCGTCTGTGGCACCTTCATTTGCATTTTTTGTGTACCATTTTTCTCTGGCTGTGCGTATCATAGCCACCCTCCATTTTGGATAGTGTATAAGCCCGGTATGTAACCACCCGCCGTTTTGGAGGGTGCATACACAAAGCCTTTCATAAATTGGAAACCCATATATATGCACCTATGTTTCATAGTATGGAGTCTGAGACCATCTTGTTTCAGTGTGCCATGTGTAATACTGATGTTCCTTTCATTTAAAGTGCTTTTAGATGAATTGTACATGAAAGTGGCACTTTTGTTGAGTACCACCCATTGTGTCACTATCTCTCAAAAATAGCCTAAATAAAATTGTAATGACCCACACCACAGCACTGATATATGTTCGTGCTCGCCTATAGAACATTTGTACTCCGCTACCAGGAATTTTTGGGAATTTCCAACACTGGGCAGAGTCCCTTTAAAAACATCTGAATCTTCAGGTCCTTATACCTGTTCTGTTTTAAAATGATAGCATAGATAGTTTGAATAAAAAGCATGAATACACATCTTGTTAAGTACCAATCACATTGAATGTTTCATCAGTGTTGTGACTAGGTGGATCTAAACCAGCTACTTTGGACTTGATGCATTATAACCCCATTTGAACTGGGATTAAATTTGGTCCACACACAAAAAAGATGGAAAATATGCTTTGACTTCTTTTTTCAGGGTGATTCATTCCACATCATGGGAAGCCTTTTTAGCAGAAAGAAGGAGTCCAGGATCACAGAGCAGGACAAGGCTGTGCTGGTGGGTATATTTCTTGTCATCAGTTTCATACAGAATGCATGGTTGTCATATTTTTTGGGACAGCTTATCAAACAATACCATATGGATGATGTGGAAGTCATGCCTGTTACCAAACCAGCACTGTATTATTATATCTCTGGTCTGCCAATACTCCTACATGAATATGACTCAACACACAGCTGTCTGTTGTGCTCTCAGCTGTGCTGAAGGCCTCCCACCATTCCCTTTAATGCCTATAATGGTCATCAGCAGGATTACCCATTAGTGAAAGCACTGCAGTGCACCAAAATGCATAATCATGGAAGGCATTTTGAGGTTTGGGCATCACATCTCAGGAAACAATTGGACCTTAGCCCAAAATTATATGTCTGTGTGGAGTTTGGGCTCTATTGATGTCTTTGAAAGTGGTCAGTGGTTTTACATATTGTTGTCTTTTCCTTTTGCTCCGAAGCACAAATGTGCTGTTCAAATACATAATGAGACTATCACCTAAAATATGCCCCCCCCCCCAGTCTACGCCAGCATTCTAAGTGTTGTTCTCATCTCCCAGCAACTGAAAAAGCAACGTGATCAACTGAAGCAGTACACCAAGAAGATTCAATTGACACTAGAGAAAGACCGCCAGATGGCAAAAACCCTCCTTCACAGTGGTCAGAAATCGTAAGTACTTTGTTCAATCTGTTGAGAAGAGCGCAGGTCGTATCTGGCGTTCAATGTCCTCGTGTCGGCCCGGACCAGGCTCTGTTGGGTACCCTATGTGTGATACTGCGAACTATGAATGCCTTGCCATGTTTAGTCATTAACTGGGGATCACATTATAACTGCATACAAGCTTCATGAAACGTGCGTCATAGACGAGATATTCCTCTGAAAACCTCTGGTCAGAGATTGGGCGGACGAAAAATAGACTTTTTGTCCTCATCTGAGGCCACTGGAGCGGTTAATGGCACACTTACCTCGCACCCGTCAATATGCAACGTGCTACCAGGATCGCGCTGGATATTGTGTGACGGACACTTGGAATCGCTCCAACGCCCACTGTAGCAAGCCCAATCAAGCGACCTTGTCGAACACCAGTATGTTACCAATGGCGGACAGGTCATGACCCCGGATGTGTGGCACAGGCGAGCCACGACACCTGTGTGCATTTAGTAATCCTTACATCACCAGTGATCGCTACAACTCCAGCTCTGCTGCTGCCGCGGTCGGCCTCGACAGCCGCAATTTACGGCAAACGGGTCTCTGGTGTGGATCTAATCCGACGGTGACGTTGCTTTTGATGTTGATGGTGATGTTGATGTTGATGTTGACGTTGACGTTGATGTTGACGTTGCCATCCGCAGGCGAGCCAAGCTTCTGCTGAAGAAGAAGCGGTTCCAGGAGCAGCTGCTGACCAGGACAGAGGGCATGCTGGACAACATTGAGCAGATGACCCACGACCTTGAGTTTGCACAGGTGGAGATGAAGGTGAGAGCGTCACAGAGCCGGCGCGCCCATCAAGACACGCTGCGGGGGGGGAGGGGGTGGCGGGCTTTGGAACGACATTGAAATTCACGCGAGCCAGACGGTCTTCTTCCCGGGTTTTAAGGCATGTCGAGTTCTCATGCTGACTTGAAGAGAAACGCCCTCATGTGTACGCTGCAGTGCTCATGGTCACTCGTGGTCACGAGTGCTGCCTCGAAACACCCAGTTATATCATGATTCATTTTAATCTTTGCTTGATAACGTTGCTCAACAGGTATTCCCTGATTGTTGACAGTCGGTTATCTTCAACATTAGAACTCATGATAATTTCAGTGACAGAAAACCAGGAAAAGGAATGCCACGAACTTTTAGAGCCGCGGTGGGGACGAAGCGGCAAATGCTTTCGCGTGTTGAAGGCTGGCCAATTCAACGGCTCCGGGAGTTGAGGTAGATCTGCCTCTCTAACGTTTAAAGCAACTGGCCTCAAAGTAAAGCTGTGAATGTCGTAGTATGCCTTACAGAATGCGCACTTTGGACATTAAATGTCCACGATGTCGGCGCTTTGGAAGAAGTTCAGCATTCTTATAGCGTTGTTTTTAGATTTGTTGCTACCTAAAGGCTATCATTGGCAATTCACAGCTGTTTCACACCTTCCATGAATTCTGCCCGCCATACAAAGCCACGGACCATTCACTTATCAACAGGGCTCGGCCGTCGCCGTCCTGCTCTTCACGGCGGTCGCGCGTCCTGCCCGCCCGCCCGCCCACGCGGTCACGTGACCCGATAGACCCCCCCCCCCTGCGCGATAGGCTTGACTGACATTTGCCGTGGCGAGCGGTCACCTTTAGCTTGCAGCTCTTCAGTCTCCGGGACCGCTCACTGCGCGTGGTTCGCGTACGTCCCTTAACATCACTGGGATTCAGTTTGATTATTTTCACTGGCCACGTAAGCAGTGCGTCAACAGCATTAATTTGCGTGAGGTCAGTATCTCCCGTTTCACGACCAGAGAAGGGCGATAGTAACGCCCGTCACACACATCCTGTGGCCAGTATACAGATACGACCAATGTGGCAAGAGTATCCCTGATGGTTGACCGCGACCAAATACGTACGCTTTGAAGTGGCTGATCGCCAACCCCACTTTCAGAGGTGTCCGAACAACAGTTTGATGAAGGCCATGCTGCAGCTGTTGTGAACTGTCACCTAGCATTGTGTTCTTGCATCTGAAGTCTGTCTGCAAAGATCCTCCGCTGCCGCGGCCCAGGGAACGCGAAGGGTTTCACGAAATGTCTTTTGAGTTAAATCAAAAGGGCAACACTTTAGAACAAACTGCAGCTCAGTGCACGACCACTGAGCACTACGTGCTTCCTCCGTGTCTGTCTTTTCTTCGATGGCTGAGCTTGCCTTTCCCGCTAATGGATGGGTCGCTGCGTCAGGTCCTGGACGGCCTTGAAAGACGGAAATGCGGCACTGAAGAAGATGCACGACCTCGTCAGCATCGACGAGATTGAGCGTATCATGGACGAAACGCAGGACGGCATAGAAAAGCAACAGGTACCCCGACACCGGCCAGTGGCCCGCGTTTATTGTTGCACCTCTGTGCTGACCTTGGCGTGTTATGGCGCGTCTTGTGATTGATGGTTGCGGTGACGAACAGACCGTCGGAACGAAGGGTATGAATTAGTTTGGGAGGAACAAATGGACAAACCAGTGCCATATAGGATTGTGGGATGTTCCTAGCGTGATTGTGAACTTACGTGACCCAGATAAGTTTCGTGGTAAGTTACTGGTGTCGAATCTGTGTTTGATATTTTAGTGATGTATCGAAATACTCCACCTGTGTGGTGGACGTGCTCTGCGTTGTGTGTGCAAGTCGCATGCGGCGGATATACAGACGAATGTCTCGTATGAGATCAATTTCTTGGGCGTCGGGATAGTCTCCGCCGTGCCCGAGTTCTGACGCAGCGCTTGGGCGTCGGGATGGTCTCCGCCGTGCCCGAGCTCTGACGCAGCGCTTGGGCGTCGGGATGGTCTCCGCCGTGCCCGAGCTCTGACGCAGCGCTTGTGGCCCACAGGAGATCGACGAGCTCCTCTCGGGCCAGCTGACGGACGAGGATGAGCAGGCCGTGCTGGCCGAGCTGGACGAGCTGGTGGCGGCCGAGCTGCCGGCCGAGCCGGCGCAGCGCCTGCCAGACGTGCCGGCCGAGCCGCTGCCCCAGCCGGAGCCGGAGCCCGAGCGGGACGAGCCGGAGCCGGAGCGGGCCGCGCCCCGGCGCGTGCCGCTGGCCGCCTAGTCGGGGAGTCCGGCCACCGCCGCCGGCAGAAGTTTCTCGCCGCGTGGCTGCTGCCGGTCGACCGCGTGGCTGCCGGTCGACCGCGTGGCTGGCTGCCGGACGGCGTCCTTCGCCGTCCGCCGCGTGGGTTGACGCCCGCTGTACGGTTGTCGTGGGAGGTGCCACCGCCCGGTGCCATGTCAGTTGTTGGCCGCTGCGACGCTCCGCGGTCTTTGGGGTACAGCGCTGCGCGCATGAAGGGGTGACCGAGGCCTACCTCGGCCCGCTGCCGGGATGTGACTTGCAGGGCGGCCTCTGCACGGTCTCCTCGAAGCCGCCAGCCGAGTTCAGCGGAAGTGACTGCTCGGTAACATGGCGCCGCCCGTCGGCGACGGAGCGTTACGAGTGCATATGTTCTCCGCGCGATGGCGCTTGGACGTGGAGACGCTGTGATGATGGTTGACTTGCACGGCCAGCCTATGCTGCTCCACCATTCTGGTCAGAAGGAGCTGTGTTAGCAGCTAGACTACTGACTGGTGTGCTTATGTGGGTGTTTGTGAAGTGTCTCAATCAATGGAAAACCAGCCTTTGAGGGTACCGTGAAGCCTTTGAGGGTACCGTACCGTTTGCCTGGTCAGCCCGCCTTTTTCTGTATACACCTGGCGCTGCGAGAGTTGTGGCATGAACCTCACAGGTGACGATGTCAGCGGCGCTTCACTGTGCTTCATCAGCTTCATCTGCTTCCCTGCCCTGGTTCATCCGTCAAGTGTGTCCGTTACTCGATCATGTCCGGTTTTCACAGTGAAGTCACAGTGCGACCAGCTGACCATCCCAGGCCGACCAGCCGGTCAGCTCTGGCCGTCCGTTCGCGATGGTTACTGCCGAACGGATGCGAGTAGCGATGGTTACTGTGAGACATCCGGAGCGGCGATGGTTACTGTGTGACATCCGCAGCGGCGATGGTTACTGTGCGCTGCCTTCAGCGCCGGCTGGGCACCGAAACGCATTTTCACCCGGGCCGTCACTTTTGTATTTCAACGGCGCAGGGGTTCTCGTCGTCAGCTATGATTCACTTGTGTATCTCGTGCACGCACCAAACGCGAGATGGGTGTGACGATAAACTGTGTGATCGCTGTCGCCTTAGTGTGTGTCTGGTGTGGAGTTGGGCCGACTGTTGGGTCGGTGAGCGGCGCACCACACGAGAGTCGGGGGTGTCGATACGGAGTTGGGGCGACTGTTGGGCCGGAGGGGGCGCACCACACCAAAGCCGGGAGTGTAAGTACAGAGTTGGGGCGGCTGTTCGGTGAGCGGCGCACCACACCAGAGCCGGGGGTGTCGGTACGGAGTTGGGGTGACTGTTGGGTCGGAGGAGGCGCACCACACCAGAGCCGGGAAGTGTTGGTACGGAGTTGGGGCGACTGTTGGGTCGGAGGGCGGCGCACCACACCAGAGCCAGGATTGTCAGTAAGGAGTTGGGACGACTGTTGGGTCGGAGGGCGGCGCACCACACGGGAGCCGAGAGTGTCGGTGCGGAGTTGAGGCGACTGTTGGGTCGGAGCGCGGCGCACCAACCCAGAGCCGGGTGTGTCGGTGCGCGCGATACACGGGTGTCGCTGTCGCTGGGGTAGGTCCCCAACATCGCGACAAATCGGCATCAGCCGTGGTGGTGCTTTGTTACGAATATAGCAAAACGTTTTCATTTCTTCCTCCGCTCTTTCGCGCACCTATTGTTACTCTCCTGTTTGTTTAGCGCGCGATCTTCGTCGTACCCGGTCCACTCCTCGTGTGGGGATAAGCTATTTTTGATCCGCGTGGTAAAGCATTAATATTGATTTCATGGAGTAGTTCACTGGCTTCATGGTTACCAAAATCCATAGCTCTTTGTAGACTTGAAAACTCCAGACTGAAATGAAACTACAGATAAAATGGTATTCTACATTGGAAGCAGACGCACCTGCCCCGGGTTACAGGCGAAGATTCGCAGTGACATGGAATGTCGAGCCGGATAATTGTTTACACCGCAAGCGCGCGACAGCGCCTTAGTTCCTGATCTTCAATGCTGCAGCAGCATGAAAACAGTCAAAGCAGCGACCCAAAACGGTTATCAGGATTCCTGACGTCACTCGCCAACAGTCGGCCTCTATGAGTCTCACACAGTTAGTTGTTGGGTTTAAAGGGTGCTCCTTTTGGTTATTTGGTTACTTTTGGTACCTATTATATATATATATATATATATATATATATATATATATATATATATATGTATATTTGGTACTTATTATATTACCTATTTGGTACCTATTGGTTACTTTGGTTATTGTACCCAATCTCGGTGAAAAAAATTGTCAACAACTTTCATCACTCCTGTTGGGCACACCGGGCCCAGAAATCCTAATAAAACGGGAATCCCGTGGCAGTAGGACAATTTATTCCCACCCCAACCTAAATCAAAGCCCTTGCGAGAGGCACGTTTAGGTTAGCTCCTCCCCTTTAGCCGGAAACGGTGCCTTACAAGCCCCTCTCACCGCTCGCAGGGTCATTACAACACTTGATATCCCCACTAAAAGGTAATGCCTCACGGGGTATCTCTCGCAGCGCCATGATTGGCTGACGCTGGCGAGAGCGTCACCAATAGCATGATGCACCAGCTAAAATCTTGTGATAATCACTGATAGTTCCAGCGCTCTTTTACGAAAAGGACTTCATTTACCCTACCATTTTATTTTCCGGTGTTCTGGTATTTTCTGGCACTTTCCGGCTTCCGGTATCATTCTCCGTTCACTTCTGAACCGCTCGCAATTGAAGCACTCCCTCTGAAGTAATTGCACGTCGCAAGTTCCAGCTGGGTTTGACCAAGTAACCTAGTATGACTGACCTAGATTGACCCGATTCGTCTTACTGATCTTTACGGTTACACACGTCATTAACAGATAAGACAGACAGCAGCACTATGAAAAGGGCGTCACTTCAAAATATTTTTGGTACACTAGCCCGTCAGTTTGAACATGCTGCGTCGCGCCGGTAGTACTGCCGTTATAAGCCAATGATGTCTAACGTGGCGACATATTTCGATCTTTTACAACGCACCTCCAGAATGGGCCGCTTTGTTTTGTTTTTTTTTTACACCAGATTTGGAAGTCGCCAAGCCACCGCCTGAGTACTGACGCAGGCCGGCCGGCGACTTGCTCCTCTGGCCGCGCCTGGCGGCTGCGCATTCCGCAAACGAGATGTTCCCGAGTACCAAGACGCGCGTGATGTGACGCCAGGGCAATCCAATGTCGCTCCCAGCTACGCCAAATGGTGGAATTCTTGGCCGTGGTAAAACAGATGGCATGCAGGGGTGGCTGGTGCGCTCGCGCTGAGATGCTCCTCATGCGCCGCCTTAACGCCACTATAGCTATCCTCGACCAAGAGATGCCACTAAAGATAACGCGTAACATGTGATAACTTCGCAGCCTGGTGCCGCATCCATCCCGAATTCAATCGTAAAATTGCTCCCAATCTGAGGGCGCTCGGATGCAACCTCGGGACCGCGGAATCACGCCCTCTCAAAAGGCAGACCCCTCTGGAGCCAGGTCACCGCACCGCACTGCTAAGCTGCACAATCGCGGTGCCGAATGACCGGACATGATCGGCTGCATGGCCGACTGAGCAGCCCTCCAGGCACCCGCAACAAACACAGGCAATGGCATAATGCTGTATTTGTCTCGACCGTCACCCACAATCCGAACATTCCTTGTTGCGCTCCACGGGGGCACATGTGAGGGGTGTGGCCGGTCGTGGTCTCCGGAGTCCAAGCCGCCGCCGTCGCCGGTCCAGCGGTGGGGTGTCAGCAGCGTCCACAGCCAGGCCAGCGTCGCCGGCGCGAGCTGACCCGGGACGCGCGGCCCGGGCCTGGCCGCCGGGACGAGCGGCGTGCTCGGAGGTGGAAGCCGACCGGCAGGCAGGCCGCTGCCCTGGGGAAAACCAATCCGACTGTGACGCGCCCGCGGTCAGTCGGATGAAGCTGCACACAAACACATCGGTGTTTGCTTCTATAAGCAGCCTCGCGTGCGACCGCATACTCAAATGACAGGGTCAATAAAGTTAATGACGTCAATTGTTCTCATCGTAGCATAATGATTGCTACTGATATTGTAGTAGACCGCCAAACCACACACACACGTACCAACATATGTTGTCCAACGGTGCTCGTAAGCAACTGAAGTCACACACATAAGGAAGCTGTTCCATTTAAGCCTGTAAATCGGGCACCGAAACACCAACGTGTTAAAACTATTTCTATTGAGCTGTTTCAACACAAAACACCTTAGCACCAACGAAGCATGCATGTTAAATCACGTCCTAAATACTGCCGCCAATGCTTATCTGAAGGGCCTGCGTCGGATGCCGCCCAAAGTTCGTATGAGGATTAGGATCTCCGTTCACTTCTTGCACTCAGCCCTTGTGTTCCGTTTGCAACCGCTCGCTCCGGAATTTGATTAGATGGAGGATGCATCGTTTTGCAGTCAGTGACTGCGGATATTGGCACACTTATGGTAATTTCGATAGTTAAGCTCACACAATCCACCTGAGGCTGAAGCTCAGGTGACATCACAGGGCAGGACAGAGCGTGTGGAACATTACTTCGCCACCAAATTTTGCCGTTAGCATGGAATTGCACGATCGGATGGCAGGGGTAAGCGCTCACACAAAAGAACTGCTTAGAGTAAGCTTTGATCCCAGAAATCTATCCATTCAAAAAGCTCGGATCATGTCCCTTAAGAAGTCTTGAAAGCATGAATTGGTGAGGGGAGGTTTACCACTGCCTCAAACCCTGACATGTATTATTGTTTTGGGAATGTTGATGGACAACCTGAGGTTGACAAAAACAAATGAGCATACAACGTTGGCTCACATCCAATGCATTTGAAGTTCAAGCATATTTCGCTCTTTTGAGCCCCTCCGAGAGAGCGTCTCACCTGTTTTCAAGTCTACAGTCTACAGGAAGACTTCTTAAAATCGATCACAAAATCACACTTAAGGCTTGATTGGCGCAATTTACCAGCATAAACTTCTGATCCACGCAAACATTTTTACGCTTGAGGCTGCATCTTGACCACACAATGATTCCTCAAACTTTTACCCCTATTGTGAGACCCGTTGCTGCCGGCCGCGTGGTTGTGGTACGCCACGACAGCGTTTTAGACCCGCATGGTCACGGCTGATCGCAGAACTGGCTGTCTGTTCAGTAACCAGAGGCTGGCTGTGGTTCACAGTAGACATGTGCATCCCAAGGGTGCATCCAGGATTCCTTAGGGTGTCATGCTGGTAGGATCTTGTGTTGGGATCCCGGATTCCTCGGGGATCCAAAGCGCATGTCTACTTGACAGGCTGCGTTAGATACCGATATGCTACGGTTGCTCTAGGACAGTTGGTCTTAAATAAGTTTCTCGTAGGCCAAGATATTCTAATTCAACAGATTCGTGACTGATCCGTCGGGAGTTAAAAAAAAAGTATGATTCAGAATAGGCGCATTCAGGAGTTCGCCGCCATATCAGCAGGCACGTATCTCAGTAACGGGCGACAGCAGTCGATGGCGCAGGATATCAGCAGGCCGAGCCGAGACCTGGTTTCATAAGATAAGTATAAAACTTCCCAGTTATACAAATGTCAAGTACAAACGTACTACTAACGCGCATAGCCGTGGTTTCATAAGAGAAGTCTAAAACTTCACAGTTATACAAATGTGATGTGCTAGCTCATCTAGTGATTCTTTAGAGCGTGTAACCGCAATTTATAACATGATAATGCTTTTAAAGCACTGCATGGACCTTTCTGCAGCAAAAGGCTATCTCCAGTGCCTGCAAATTCATGGAACAGCTAATCGTCAGCACAATCACAGTGTGCTCATGCACCCAAGCCTGCTTTCAGTGTTTGTTACAAGTAACCAGAGCGCATCATTTAGTTCCATTCATAAAATGTGTGTATCATAGACGCAGTTTATCGTTGTGCAGGCATGCGTACGTGAATGGATAAACACCATGATTGATGTGTCACTAAGTCCGAATGTAGCTCTTCGTGCATTACATAGGACCACAAGAATGCTGAAAAATCATTGAACAGAAACGTTCAAAATCATTCAACAACAACATTTT